TTTCTTCCCATTTGAGGTTCTGCAGTAACAGCAAATGAAGATTTTGTAAACTCTGCCCCACCCATGTCATTAAGATCAGTTCTACCTTGAAAGGGTAGCACTTCCCCAATTATATTTTGAGTAAGTTCAACACTGAGGGGCTCATCTTTTATGAATGTATCAGACAATGTTGTGCTGCTAGCCATCAGGTTTTGATAATGCTTTCAAAAGTTGATCACCATGTTCTTCCCTCGTCTTATCTTAATATGGAAAATCTGCTAAAACTTGCTGATATGCTAAGTACGAGTAATATAGCTTCTAGAATCACAGCAACATACAGTTCACTGCAGTGTGACAAACTGGTAAGTTCCAGTAGAAAATCTAACACTAAAGATTAATAAAGTGAAGATCTTCATCACATCCTGAAGTCTGAAATTATCAAATATCTAATAATGATGCATTATAATTGTGACTTAAATGAGAAAGTTAGAAACAAAGAAAAATATCAGTAGCTGAAAAATATAATTGCTGTTGTGTACCGAAGAGCCAGAACCGATACATAGCTGACCTTCCAGAGGGTTTTCAGAGACACATAAGGAGATTGCCCATCCTTCTCCCACAGAGAAGCTGGTGGCCTCAAACCCTGTGCCTTCAGGGTTACAGCACGCACACACACACAAATATTGTTTTCTAGATACTGAGATGTAATCCATATTGAAGGCTGTAGTCTTTGATCTGCAGCAATTGTTTCAAATCTTCCTTACATTCAGCAGGAAAGGTAGTATAATCTGCTTAACACAGGTAATGAGTCTTCCTCCAATCCTGTTATCACATACATTAGTTCTTCATAGAGACCATAGAGACCACCTAGTCAATTGATTTGCTCAGCATACAGATTGAATACGAGTGGAGAAAGGACAGGACCGTGATGCACACTCTTCTTACTTTTAAACCATGCGGGATCTATTTTTTTTTGCATTTTAAACTATACAGTGTCCTCTTTCTCTGAACAGCCTTTTGGTGTAGGTATAGGTTTTGTATGAGCAGAGTTAATTATTGTGGACTCCCATTCTTCTCAATATTAGCCCAAATTTGTGTGATCTACAGAGTCAAATGCCTTTGCATAGTCAATAAGGCACAAATAGACCTGGAATTCTTTGTTTTCAGCCAGCATTCATCTGACATCAGCAATGATATCCCAGGTGCCATGACCTCTTCTAAACCCAGATTGAACTTCTGGCATCTATTTGCCAGTATACATTCTAGCCACTTTTTAGATGATCTTTAGCAATATTTGTTTGCTAATATGTGCTAATAGTGATATTGTTCAATAATTTCCACATTCTGTTGGATCCCCTTTTTTGAGAATGGGAACAAATATGGACCTCTTCCAGTTGTCCAGACAGCTGCCCTCCAAATTTCTTGGCATAGACTGGTGAGCACTTACATAGCTGCATCTGTTAGTTGAAACATGTCAATTAACACCCATAGATTCTGAGGCGTTGCTTTTTTCAATGCCTTCAGTGCTGCTTAAACTTCCTACATCATTACCATTGGATTGTAATCATGTAATACTTCCTGAAATGTTTCTTTTTGGACAATGACTCTGTTTATTCCCTCCATCTTCTTTTGATGATTTCTAGATTATTCAAGATTTTGCCCTTTTCACCTGTTTTTTTCAGCTTGAGAAATGCTGAACAAATTCTTCCCTGTTTATTCTCTGACTCCAACTCTCTGCAGATTCCATTTTAATATTTTGCCTTGTCTTCTAGAGCTGTCATTTGGAATCTTTGTTCAGCTTTTTTAACTTTAGCTTCTCTTTCCTTTGTTTTGACTTTCCAATGCTCTTGTGCAAATTCAGTCTCTTCTGACGTATATTTTGGTTTTCTCTTTTTCTTCTGTGTTTGCAATGACCTTTCTCTCTCTCTTCATGGGTGATATCTTGATGTCATCCTACTACTCATCTGGTCTTCAGTCCTTGGTGCTTGCAGTCCTCAGACATATACTTAAGATAATTTTAAATAGACTCAAGGCCATATTTTGGTTCATTTGTGCTTGTTTTAGTTTTCTTTAACTCAGTTTGAACTTGCACAGGAGTAATTTGTTTTTTATTGTGACATTAACAAAAGTTTACAGAAAAGTTTCATTCATTCATTGTTGTACATTTTCCTCCTTACTCCCTCAGATCACTTAAAAAAAATAAATCCTTAATTGTTGCATAATTTCCTCACCCACAACTCCTCCTCCCACAGTCTACTTTGCAGTGTCCCTCTTATTCTGGACTGTCATTATAAAAACACTGCTTAACCACAAATTCCTTTTAAACAGTCCTTTCTTTCATTTGTTCCAATGCAGTGTTTATTATTTATCCCCTCTTTTCTCAGTTTCCCCTCAACCCCTTTGTCAGTCCTGTTTTATAACAGTGGTGTTATTCAGTATTTGATTGTGACTGCGATATTTCACTCAGTATAATGTCCTCCAGGGTCACCCATGTTGTGTGATATTTTATGAGTTCCTTGTTTTTCAGTGCTAATGGATATAAAAACTATGGTATATTTCATTGTTTGGATATACTATAGCTTTTATATCCATTCATTTGTTGATGGGCACTTGGGTTGTTTCCATCTCTTTGCTATTTTGAATACTGTGGCAGTAAACATGGGCATGCATATATCTGGTTGGGTAGCAGCCTTGGTTTCTTTAAGGTATATTGCAAAGGAGTAGTTATTGGTCTTCCTGGTTTGGGCCACTGATGTTGAACTTTCCAATTATATTCCTTCTACATATATGGTTAATCTGATTCATGTGCAGTTCATTAGATGAGGTCCATGTGTAAAATTGCCATTTGTTGTGTTGTTTTTTTTTTAAGTTATTTGCTATTAATAAATCCTTGAATGGACAGAATTTGATTATTTAATTTCAAGCCTTTGTAACAAGTCTGCGCTTTCAGACTACCATTCCTTCTTCATGTTTCCAGCTTTTTAACCAATTAACATTAACACATCTTGATTTTATGTTTGTTCAGTTCTGGACTGCAAAACTCCTTTTCTTTAGCTTTTGCTGTTAGTGCAGATATTTAGATTATGTTTAAACAAATATATTATATTTATGGATAGTTTTCTATTACTCTAGGAATACAATACCATTCTTCCCCGGTTTATCATTCCCGGCACAGTAGATTATATGATTGTCTGATTCAGAGTGGCAAATGCCAGACCATTTCATTAAATTAATGCCTAGAATGTGGATATTCATGCATTCCATTCCATTCCATGTTTTTACTACTACTGTTTTTCCTGTGTTCATAATTTGTATGTTTCATGTTCTGATTATTAAAGGTTGTTTGTAGCCTTTCTTCACTTTTGGATTGACTTCCAGTCTGGGCTCTGCCACTAATACTATACCTTCCCAACATTATTGGGATGTTTAGAATTATTTTAGCTTGACTAAATGCTGCTTTCTTTTGCTACCTTTTGTATATATTATTTCTTAATGTTGTCACTGCATATAATAACAACTATTTTTAATCTGCTCCATTTCATACAGGACTGATTAAGTGAAAAACTAAAGGTAATGGCTATTGTACAGGTCTTTTTCTTCTTGCTACTCTAAACATTTTTTTAAAAACAATTTAATATATTTTGCACTTTTGTAATGTTTGGGAATCTGATTTTGGGAAACAGGCCATGACTGTATTGAATATTTTGTTTTAATACTCTCTTTCTAGCAAGGTGACTAATTAAAAGTTTTTAGGCTTCTTTAGTTTGCTTGGCTCCATAGTCAACAGTCTTGGCACCAGCAGCCAGGAAATTAAAAGGCGCATTGCCATGGGAAAGTCTGCTGTTAGGGAC